TGAAGCTTATAAGTAGGCCTTGGGAAAAAAGCTGACTGCAGAAAAGCCCTTCTCAGAAACTCACAAAGGCAAAGCTACCCCAGTGTGGTTCATTTCGCATCGGGCTCTTAGTCATGTGAAGCCGAGGCCCGAGCTCTGCCCGAGCTTTGCATAGGGTATTGCAAGCCGCCAACTTGCATTCAGCAGCCCTGTGCTCACTTCACTAGGAAATTCGGAACTCAGTAAGACTAAGACGTCAGCTGGCATCCTTCGACCAAGGCCTTGGGGCAAAACTTTACTTGAGTGACTTGAGTGCTGATTTCAGTCCGGGGTCATGTTGCACGCTTCGGGTGCCACACAAAAGTGGGAAGGCTCTTATGCGTAGCCACTACCGCGCTCCCAAGGATTCACAGTTGGGACAGCGGAGCACTTGCAAAAGTCAGCTGCAAAGCTGCAACTCCAGCTTTGACAGGTCGCCGCTGCATCCCGCTTGATCACGGTCCCGACGCCAGCCCCAGCTGGAAATTTCAAGGCAGCAGTGCGTTGTGCAAGTTGGTCTTGTGTTCCACTTGCAAGGGCACCGAGGTCAAGCCAAGCTTGTGACAGCGGCAGACTCAAAGATGTGATGTCCAACGATGCTTCCGTCGGATTAAGCTGGGATTCTGGCCAAGCGGAAGCCAAACCCAGACGAGCATTTTAAGAAAGGACTTCAGATGGCACAGGGAGCTTGACAACGGGACTGTAAAAGCATGCGAAGACCTCCCTCATTGCAGGGTGCCGCAAACCTTAACAGTTCCTCTCACAAGAGAGGCTTGTTGGACCTGTTGCTTACGGCTGTTCAGGAGATGTAGCCTCCGGAGTGTATGGGCGCATTGTCACGGCTCTGGACACCATACACCCGAAGCAAACAAGCGCGAGATCGCTACGGATTTGGCTTTAGGATTTGACGTTCAGAGCCAAAACAGAAGTCTGGGGCCTGGTACGCAAACAGCTGCAAGAAGGCAAATGCCGCTCAAGCCTCAACCTCTACAATGAAAATCTAGAAGCATAGATCTAAACATCATCTTGAGCTTAGAAGAAGGAGACAGACGAGATGAAGCATACGCATGCAGTGAGTTGAAGAAAACACAGGCACTGATTCCCGAGGAGGAGCTAAAAATGCTGACTCTACCTTTCTGCTGAGCTGTGGCAGGCGTCTTCTCAACAGCAATGCATGAGCATGATGCTTTTGAAAAATACCCTCAGCTGAAAGGGGTACTGCCCCCAGCACAGCCAATTCAGTGCCACTTGCTGGGTCTGGATTACAGGATCTTGAAGTCGATTCCTCCCATGAATGCTTGCAATCCAGACGCCAAGGCCACTTTATAATTCAGATCCCGTATACCTCACCCTGGCATGCAGGGGCGTTGTTTTGCTAGGGGCGACAGGCAGACTAGGGCTTCTTCAGGTGTTGCTGGGCTAGCAGCATTTCTGGACATGATCTTAAATAGAAAATGACGAGGGGATCTGAATTGTCTGGGCTGCGGTCTGGATTGACCCCTCACAGATATGCCAGACCCTGAGACAATCTGCTCAGGGGTGAAGGGTCTGAAGTCTCGACCCTGACAGAGGGGATCTTGTAAACCAGTTGGAAATGTCGGAACTCCCAGAATTTTTGCAAGAACTCCACTGGTTGGAACGGAGACCCTGAGCTTGAGCTGCAGAGACATCGCGTTAGCTGAACAAACAAACTGGTCCAAATTCCCATCTAAGCAAGGCCTCACAGACAGAATCAGAAGGGGCAGGACCCCCTTTTGGCTGAGGGTATGTAGATGCCCTGCATGAGTTTGGATTACAATCCCAAAGCTGAGGGAGACCGCAGGTGAAATCCTTGCATGCAGCAAGTTCTGATTGCTAGTGCAAAAGATGGGCCTCGAGCTGCTTTTCTTACAGCTTGGCCTCTGTCCATTAAAAAGATGAAGTGTGTGAGGCGGATAGGTGTAGGGGCTTTGGAAACATGAGCAATCGTCAAAACTTGCACTGAGCAGATTGTAGAACGACAGCTCATTGAAGTTTAATCCCATTTCAAGCAATTCAGACCATTTAAGGGGTCTGGACTACTGGATCCCAAGGTCGAGTCTTCACATGTACGTTCGCCATCCGGACCCCAAGACCACTTTATCGTTCAGACCCCTGGCACCTTCCTCTGGCATGCCTATATGATCCTGATGGCTGGAAACAAAGCGCCACAACAAAGCTACATGCACTCTTCTGCAGCTGATCCTGTGCGATGTTTGCTGCTAGAATGCAGGACCATTGCAGGGTCTTATCTCCGACAATGAGCACGCACAAGATGCGAAAGCTTCCCCAGTCGGGATTCACGAAGCCCAGTCCGAGTCACAGGCAAGCCGGTCCCAGCATTAGACACTCGTTTTCTTGCAACTTGGAGCAGTTGCATGCCAGNNTAACCTCTAGCCAAGGGCTACCTCTGTCGGGGATCACGGTCCAAAATGGTGCAAAAGGTCTTTTTGGGAAAATGCCACTCGGTTTTGAGTCGCAACACCTGGCATGATGCCTTTACAGGGGCAAGCATGCACAAGCTGCAAAATCTTTCCAAGACGGGATTCAGCAAGCACAGTCCGAGTGACAGGCAAGCGAGTCCGAGAATGAGATAGCGCATGCCACACTGAAATTCTTGCAAACTGTATGGAGTGCACAGAGAAAGCAGCGCCCACAGTGCAGGAGCATGCAGCTTGCCGAGCTGATGCTCTTGTGCGTCACGGCGAGTTGCACGCTACCCTCTAGCCAAGAAGGCGCCAGCTGCCAACCCATTTACTCCGAGTCTGGTTCAGGTTAAATTTCCTATTTGAGAGCTCGGAACGTCCCGCAATAGCCATCTTTGACAGGGCACGTGTTGCATGCCAGCATTTCATCACTGATCTCCCTTACCTTGGGGATCGTAGCCCAAATTCGTGCAGAGCATCCACATGATGCCATGAAACTTGGTTTCAAGCGGCCACAATGTGCGAAAATTGCACGTGGCATGCTGCCTGCGCAAAGGCTGCATGCACTCTTCTGCAGCTGATTTTGTGCAATGTTTGCCGCTAGAATGCAGGACCATCGTAGGGTCTTATCTCCGACAATGAGCATGCACAAGATGCGAAAGCTTCCCCAGTCGGGATTCACGAAGCCCAGTCCGAGTCACAGGCAAGCCGGTCCCAGCATTAGACACTCGTCTTCTCGCAACTTGGAGCAGTTGCATGCCAGGACGAACAGGACGCTAACCTCTAGCCAAGGGCTACCTCTCATGGGAAAATGACACTTGGTTTTGAAGCTGCAATATGCCAAAAGAGCACCTGGCATGATGTCCGCACAAAGCCTGCAAGCACTCTTCTGCAGCTGATCCTGTGCGATGTTTGCTGCTAGAATGCAGGACCATTGCAGGGTCTTATCTCCGACAATGAGCACGCACAAGATGCGAAAGCTTCCCCAGTCGGGATTCACGAAGCCCAGTCCGAGTCACAGGCAAGCCGGTCCCAGCATTAGACACTCGTTTTCTTGCAACTTGGAGCAGTTGCATGCCAGGACGAACAGGACGCTAACCTCTAGCGAAGGGCTACCTCTGTCGGGGATCACGGTCCAAAATGGTGCAAAAGATCTTTTTGGGAAAATGCCACTTGGTTTTGAAGCCAGATTTTCCGAAAGTGCATGCCTGATGCACTTCTATGGCCGATGCCTGCACACTGCCTGCACGGACTTTCTTACAGCTGGGCCGGCGCGTATTTCTGGCTGCTTGCCTGCAGGACCTCAGTTCGTACAAAATATGATATGAAGTCATGCAGTGTCGAAAAGCCATTGTGCCATTACTTTCGGGGCACTGTGGGCAGAAGGACCAAGAAACGGACCGGCAAGCGAATCCAAGCAACAGCTCGGCAGTGGCAGATTCTCGGTAGCATGCCTGTTGACACATGGTTGACCAGTGCTCACCGTTGTGCTAACCAGCTAGACGCCAAAAGACAGGAGAATTGATTAAATTGACCCATGAGTGGAGTGCGTGTGCGGAGCATCAGTCTGGGGCTACAGCTATGCAGGTTCATTGATCTTGGCTGCACACACTCGGGCTGACCGGCCATCAGCGCGGGGCCCTTCATCATGTTCCGTCGCAAACCTCCCTTGCATCTAACTTTAATGCCGCTTTGGCCATGCAGCAGCCTAAGCGAAAAATGAGGCTGCGTGCGTGATGCCATGAGGCGAAAAACACTGCTTCAGAAGGTTTAAGCTATAGGAGCTGTTCCAGAAGGTTTCTGTATGCACACAAGCTCAGCACGGCCCAGGGATGAAGTCTTCTTTTCGCAGACAGACACAACGCGCAGCTGTATTGGCTGCAGCATCAGACGCATTGAAATCATATTAGCAGTGAAGAACAACCCACACCGGACTGGCAGCGCGCTCTTGGCGTCCCATGCGGCCATTGTGGATACCATGTCCTGCGCTAGATACACTGCGAAATAATGATAGCAAGGAGGATAGTTGTACTAAGCGGAATGTCTACTTGCAAAAACAAATTGAAATAATCGTCAAAAAGCAAGAGAACCAATCTACCTTCATAATTGAGCCAAGCCAACAGCGGATCACATGCATGCGGGTTGAAACAAGGGCCTCTGAGAGAAACCTCATACATATTGCCAAACGCGAAACGCGTAAATACTGTGCGACACATGATTTCCTGGGCCTGAGCCGCTTCTCTGGAGAAGGCATCGGGTCATACTCCCGAAGGGCTAGAAAAACACAGATACGGTCAGCATTGACTTCTGACTGGAAATCCCGCCCTCCTGCCACTCTGATGGTAATGTCAACTAAGAGCTCAGACATTCTTTGTTGCGCGCGTCTTGATATCTCTTGCAACCATGCGGATGGATCGCAGCACTCGCACGGATGTTCGGGAAACTCCAACCTCAACTGCTGGAGGGGCTGCTTCTGTTGACTCAGTCCGTCTGCAAGAAACTTCTCGTCTGCCTTATTCAATGAACTCAGCAACTGGCCCCAGCGAAGCCAACTCCACCCGCTTCATCTGCAGTAGCTGGGGGCCAATCATTGGCCTGCTGAGCAGTTGTGTTCACCTCCCCACGCATCTGACATGAAGCTTGTAGATTTCAGCAGCACCTGAGTATGAAGTGTGGGGGGGGGGGAGGGACATTCTGCGCCCACCCCCGCGGCTGTTCGTAGACAATCGAGTTTCTTCATTTTTGTTCTGGCATATGCCTGGGGTTTGGCAAAATAAGTGGGGCTGCTCGCTTCGCACTCTAGTCCCGAGGCAGGTGATCCATGTCCCATAAGGATCGCCTGATGTACGAATGTTTTCAACATGGATCAGGGTTGGACATGTGTAGGAGTAGTAGAAGTAGAAAGAGTTGCAAATGCCGCTGGCAGCAGTGGTCGTGCTGCTGGGTGCAGTCTTAGCGGCTTGAGGGAGGGCTTTGTCATGTTTAATGTGCTGCATGAGGCCCAGAAAAGGGTGGCATCCAGTAGTTGTGTGATGCGTATCCTCTCAGCCTTGCGAGAACATTGAAGCTGACGTGGTCGAAATTCAGAACTCCCTCTGCTTCTTCGGTCCGCCGCTACAACAACCACTACTACGACTGCCTACCACCTGCATTTCTTTCTACGGTTACAATTACTGCTCGTGCTACTACATCTACTACTCCGGCTTCGGCGGGGCGGATCACGTCAATGATTAGGAGGCTGAAAGGTAGATTTTTCGCTTGTAATTTGATCCAAAACTACTGCAGGAGTAGGAAGGATTCAGGACGCAAGCCACCCTCAACAATACTCTCAAGACTACGACCGCCGCAGTATGATCCTCCGCCGAGAGCACAACCCTCCAGACTCTGCCATAAGTGCATCATTTGAAACACCTCAAGAAAGGCTACAGCTCTAGTCTTTCGGAAGAAAGTACGATGAAATCAATTCAAGAATCCCAGCCTGTATGCGTCGCACCCAATACTTCTACCTTCTCTGCTGAATAGCGCTTCAAAATGCAAAACCTCAGGTCTTGCAAGGCACTGCTTTATCAACCTTGCGCCTGTAGAGCCTGAAGAGCATGTCTGTTCTCATAAACACGCCTGCGAGATCGGCGGCGCAGTCCGTCCAAGTGATCGAACAGAGCAGAAGCCTGCCAAGAGCATTCAAGCCGCACAAGGACAAAGGCATCATTCGAGAAAAAAAGATCGGCCGTCTGAAACAAAGCCTCCAAATGCCTCTGCCCCAAGCAAAGTGCCAGTGCATGCAGCAAAGATTACATGACTTCTAAATCCTCCCAAAACAAACTGGAAATAGCGGTTGTGAATATGCTGTTTCAGCCAGCAGAAACATAGAGACGCAAAATGCCTCGTGCAATGCGTGGTCTGACCGCAGCACCTCAACGATCTCGAAAGAACCTTTGCTGCTTTCTGCAAAAATCTCTGCTACTAGGAGGAAAATTATCGCGGTTTGTTGGAATTTCGAGCATGCTCCATCTAGGCTGCCCTTTTCTCATCCTGGAGGATACTGTAGCAACTTCTCTCATGCAGAAAGACGGATTGGTTGCCACTCATGGCAGTAAGGATTGTGGCAAGATACCAAGGTACTCTTGCATCACCGCTCCTGCAGCTTGCTTCAAAAAGTGGCAAGACATCCAAACTTCAAAAACTCACAGCGCGGCATGCCGCTCAACAGCACGATATGGAACAACCCCCAAGAGTCCTCCACCTTGACCCCAAAAGACGGGAAGCGCATGCTGGCCACAACGCTGAATCAGGGTTTCAACCTTTGCGGCGAAGCAGCCGGAGAGAGTGCTTCTATCATGATGCGAAAGTACTAGCCAGCATGCGGCGATGCTTGCAATGTGTGTTGGCAAAAGTGAAGAAAAATTGATAGAGCCTCGAGGTCATCTGCGTATATGCAGCAGACAGCATGCTCCTGAGCATGGCTTCTCGCTCAGCATCCGAATGAGGCAAGGCTCACAACCTCTTGACCATGTCCGCATGTCTTCCATGTCTCACATTACAATGAGTAAGCACCGGACTAGGAACAGCGGATTCTGTTCATGGTGTAGGAAAAGGCCTGCATGATCTCCGGCAGTGATCGCACATCACCGAAAGATGAGAAAATCAGCAACCTTTTGCAGAGAGCCATAAAGTATTGCAAGCTCAAACATCAGGAGGAGTTAGTAAAAGATAGGGTTTCCAAATCTTGGTATCAAGATTTGAGTTCCTCAACAGCGACCCAGGGTAAGGCTGCTGACAAGTGCCGGAAAATCACTCCCAAAGCTACTGCCGGCTTCTGTTAATCTGGTACTGTGGACGGTACCTGTTCAGCGACCCCTCGATCAAGCAAATAGTGACTCAAATAGGGCACAATCTCTGGAGATTCCTCACCCTCTTCTCAAGCAGCACACTGCGTCTGTGGAGCTTCTGCTGACAGAGTCTTAGTTTCCAACAGGTTGCCAGTTCCGAGTCAAGGCTTTCCGCTCCTGCCACACATGCAATTCGCAAGACTGGAAAATTTTGCCTACCTCTTGCTGCCAAGAAGCGTGCCAGGCAAAAGCCGCGCACATTCTCACAAGGCGGTAGCGCTGCCTTTCGCCAAGCTCAGAATGTTCAACTGGTCAGCAACTTTCAAACTCACTGCACATGTTCAGAAGACCACATGTCAAGCTAACACATAGATAGGTCATGCTGGACCTTGCACCTTTGCTATACCCTCACTTGCCAAAATTGGCTTTTGATCACAACCTTCTTGCCTGAATGTCCCGCTTGGCAAACCACTTCCCAGGATCTGCCTTGGTCAGGCAAGCGAACTGCCGTCCTACAAGCCCTATGCGAGATCAAATGCTTTGGCTGCTCGCGTTTAAACATCTGAGCCTGAGCCCCGTACGGCTGCCCACGCTTGGTTTTGCGCGAGTGCCCTGACAAACCGATGTGCTCAACTAGATCCTTTGAGAAGCAAATACCCAAGCTGCGGCTGAGGCCTGAGAGGAAAGACTCTAGCCTAGTTGGAAGCTTGGGCCTAGAGCAAACGGAAAAGGCGGGCAATTTTGTTCACGAAACGTGTAACCTGTATACTCGTGCTTGGCCTCACCCGAGTTGCGCGTCGCTGCTTTGGCACGCGAAGTGGGGATGAAATGCCTGAGCAAAGTGACAAGCCCGCCGTGCTTGGCAGGTGTCTGAAGCGGAACTCAACATCCTTGCTTCATAGTCAGCAGCAAGTGCCTTCCGCAGCAGTCCGCAAAAAATCACTGGGCCGTTGGAGAAAAACGCCTTGGTACATCAACTCAACACAAATGTGAACGCATGAGTCCATGCTGTACCAGCGATACCGATGCCTTCGCTGTTGCCAGGGCATCCTGCCCAAGCAGCCATCGCAGCATGAAGCTCCTGCAGCATCTGGCTGGTGATGCAGCTTCAGGCTCTTCCTCTGCTGCAGTACCACAACATTGCGAAGGAGATTCCAAACGGAGAGCTATCATCCTATTCCTGCAGCTCCTCTGACTTCACAACAATCAATCTTGCTTTTTGGAGGCAGCGTCGCACGATACTGATGCCGTGCAGGACCTGCCTCGGTCAGGCAACGATTTCTGTCAAGTCCCACTCTCGCTGCCCAACACCAAAGCCGCTCATGCACGAACTAGGCTACTTAGCCTGTACACGTCTTGCGGACACTGCATTTGTCCAGAAGATCTAACGAATTCTTGACTACGCGTCATGCAAAACACAAGCTTAACACACACATGTTGGACTTGCTAAGACATTCCATAAATGTTCCACAAGCAATTGCCAAGAACATTTCGCTGACAGATTGCGGTACGTAGAGAATGGAAAGTCCAGACACCCTTTGGCACGATCGCCGCCAATGTCCAGGAATACCTGGAACCAAATTTGTGCCCGCGAGGTCAAGATTTGCAACGCAACCCTCAGGTCGAACTTATGTTTCCTTCAAAACCAGGAGGAAAAAGTGGGATCAAGATCAGAAATCCCCACACAGGACCAGTCAACGCATGAAACCATCGCGCTTGAAAAAGGGGACAAGTGTTGGTTGGGGTCATGCCAAGCAAAACATGCGCCGAGGCTTGCCTGATTACAACGCAGCGCTTGCGGAAATGATGCAAGACGATCTTGCTCTTGGAATATGTCCTCATTGAAGGCAAGTGCACAGAACCTCCTTGGACGTGTGCCAATGCGAGCAAACAAGCACATCTACAAATGAATCGCAACACAGCTGCTAGGAATTCAAAAGCCACCCCAGGAAGCCGGCTGCGGCTCTCGACAAGTTGGGCAACTGACACGTCGAGGCCGAGGACATCAGCTGCCCTTGCATTTGGCCGTCAGAATGGCACGATACTCCCGGTAGCAATGATGATGACAACATGTTTGTTGGCATGCTGTCAAATCATCAAACAAACAAAGCTATGATACACCTTTGCCTGGCATGCAGAATTTCGGTACAATGTCCCAGACTGCTGCCAATTTCAATGACGTGGTCCTGCCAAATGCCACGCGCGCCACAACTTTCACACTTTCGAACGACTGCTGCAACAATTTATAGCCTCTTCGTACTTGACTGAACGGTACATGCTGAAGCATATCAACTGGACGTTCATCATGTTCCGGTGACTAAAAAGTCTATGATTTCGAATTTGTAATGGACATGTCTCACACCAAGCAACCAAGCTTGTAGCAACATGATCCACCGCACGACAGCCGCATCCTCGCCCGACACAAGATGACGTGCCAAACTCCTGCATTTTTCAAGGGCCAAAACGCGGTAGCTTTTCACGTGAAGCTGTGAAGTTTCAGTATTGCACCTCCTGTGGCTTCGGGCTGCGGCCTTAGTTTGGCCTGGTTTATTGATACTGTTGACGAAACAAGATGAGCTCAAGTGTCATTCTCGTTCCATGGAATTGGTGCCACGCAGACAAATATTGAGACAAAAAACCATCGGACAAAATGCGCCTGTAATCAATTGTCGTCGAGCTGACGACGACGGCTGACGTCCCAGAACATCGTGCGCGAATATGGGGTGTGACCTTCCATGCGGGGTCGTGGCAAAAAAAAATCCAAGCATCCATCCCACCTGTTGCACCACGAGCCAGGAAAAATCCAACTCATCGAAATCAGGCCGCATAAAGCCCCGAATCCCACTTTGCGCACGACATCATTTTCAATTTGACCCAACTTCACGTACTAGGGGAATTTGGCTAACCACTTAATCTGCTTGTTGATATAACGCATGGACTCAGAATCTCAGCTGCTGGCAACTGTGGCTGCTCCATGTTCTATCATGTATGTCGTGAAGGCTCAACAAGCCGTGTACATGTGGCTGATTTGTTGAAAATTAGCCAACATGTCTCTCCAAATTGCAACCCCAAAAAATAGAACGAGCCTGATTTCCACGCTGGCAACGTGAACAATAAGTTCTGCATAGCAAACTGTGAAAGCACTGGGGATAAAGATATGTTTCGGCACCGTTGTGCATTGTAGCAACGGGGAAAAGTTTCTCCAAGCAAACGGTTCATGCGTTGCAAATATGTTTTGATCCTGATTCTGCTGCGATGTTGCCCTATTCTAATCAGAGGCCATTTGGGATCGCAGCAAAAACTTCGTTCTGCCGTGCCACAATCAGCGCTCTGCGGTAACAGGCGATATTGCCTCTGCGTGATGTGCTGGCACTGCCGAAAAAACTCAAAGCCTTCCAAATGGCTAGAATCAAATTTGAAGTTGAGGACGGCGGACATACACAACGAGCTTGCCGCACACGCATCTGCGCAAGCCACGAGGAATCAGAAATCACTGACGGCGAGAAAAACGAATTCACTTGGGACGAAAAAGCCTTCACTTGGGATGAATGATCTTAATCAATGCTGCGCTTAGCGGTCAGTACGCGGGAACTTGGATACTTGAATGATTTTATGTTCCCAAAACATTTTGGGGCAAATTGGGAGGTGGAGTTTTAGCTTGGCCTCTGGCCTGTTAGTTTGATGTCCCACCCAACCCATCCCAAGATGTTTTCAACAGTCGGCATGTATATATTGTTTCACGGGGGGTGGATACTTCATATTCCCTCGGACCATCTCACGTGCAAAGTCCATCATACCTAAGAAATGTGGATATGCAAAATCAGATATGTCGCAGGCTGCGCGATCCAAAACATTTGAGTGTTTGCAGCAGTCATGTACATTGTACATGTCTGTTTGAGTGATTGCAATACAGTTCACGTTAATGTTTTCCAATCGGGTTCACATTCCTCTCCCCTTTTTGTGGTACCGTCCATCAGACGGATTTGAAACTTGGGGCGTTACGGGTACAACCTTCCCGTCACGCGCCGCGTAGGCTATGTACATACAAAACAGATCCAGCTGTAGTACAGCCTGACTCTGACCCCACCTCTTACGCTACCGTAAGGAAACAGAGACCGGCTGGGCTTTCCTAAGTTAGGAATAGGAGCGGAGCAATAAGTTTGCCTCACGCGTGCGTGATTGAGCTTTATTCAAAGTGAAATGACTGTCGCAACGTATGCTGGGGCAGTTTAGCCTCATGTAAGACTTTACATGCATGGAGTTGCTGAGACACAACATGTGCACGTGCAGTCATTGAGCTCTCAAGCTGGTAGCTTCCTCCTTTTTTTGCCACCCACCCACCCTACAGACTTT